AGATATGATTTCCAAACTGGATATTATGATTTCCAAATCATATCCAGCAATGGATGTGATGAGCATTTCCAAATTAAAATTATCCAGTTGCTTGAGTGTTTTTTGACATACTCTGTACTTGTCTTTCAGTTGAGTTGCAGTAGTCTGTATTACATAATAAAGTTGAAAAACCTAAGCTAAAGCCAAAAGGATTAAGAACAGTAATCCTTGTATATGAGTAAGCTCCTCTCAAAGCTTCCATCAACAACAGCTGATCTCGATGATAGCCCACAGAATCCACAATCACCCTCAGTCCAGGGTTAATATTCCAGCACATATAATTATAAAAAGGTGGGATAGCAAGTTTATGATAGAGTGTAATGGAAAGCGTTGATCATAACATTTGATAACACATTAAATATACTATCAATATCAAACATTTCACCTGTTAGGCTCAGTATATCTCTTTCAGTGGAGTAAGAATGTTAAAACAAATAAAAGTAACCAATGTTATATGTAAACCACGTAATAGGAACGCTAACTCTTCACACACATAATATACGTAATATGTACATTGACTTACATTTTCTATTACATGTGTGCTGCCTCATAAACGGAGATGAATCTAACATATACATTCCATGATATTTTCAAATCAGCAGCATCATATGAATTTGTGACAAAAAGATCAAATAAAAAAGATTATACACATTGAATTATATATCAAATGTCACGACGGCTTGCATCTTTGCATTTAAACCCTACTGGGACTACCCACATCCATTCCACTCTCTTGCTGTGTGAACCTCTTACCCTTTTCCCGTGGTAGTAAGAAAAATACATGGAGCCCTCAGATATAGCAGTGAGTCATCAGAAGTGTGCCTGGAGATAGGGCCGCACATTGACGCATCACCGTACAGTACAGCGGGTACCCGTAACCTTTGGATGACTCCACTGTGAGGCACTGATGGCCATGTAATGTAGGCTTTATGAAGGTGACCTCAACCATCTATTACGGTGCATCAAGCCTTGAAACCACCTGCACTTTGGTCACTATCATACCATAGCTGCGAGTACACTACACACTCTGTCAGTGATACAGCCATTGAACCACTGCAATCTTTGTGGTCCAAGAAAAATATAATTATTAGCAGTAATACAGAACATAATCAAATAATGTTCATCTCCCCACCCTCGGGTACTGCGATCCAACTGTCACACAAAATTGGCTGTAATTCAGAAAAATCAATACAACCCAATTAGATTTAGACAACACCTGTGCGCTTAAACACTTATGTCTATAATAACAAAAAAAGCAGGTACCTTTGTATTATATCGGCCTCTACAGGAAGGAACTTCCGGAAGCTGAGTTTTGTAGATTGTGATCACACAGCCTCCAGCTTTTGAATGCGGAACACAATATCCTATAGGCTTCAGCTAGCAGAAAAGTCATTCATGAGAGCTAGCTCATCCACAAACTAATTTACGACTGCAATCTCCTGGTACAGTTACCATCTATAGAGTTTGGGGGGATGACTAATGTTATCCTGGCTATATCATCATCAGTCACTGAGTGTGGAACGTGTGGCGAGTGTGGCTTAGCGGGTGCCAAATAAAAACCATGCATGCGGCGGTCGTTCTTGTAAGCTGTAGTGAACCTTTATGGCCCTAAACTAAAGAAATGCTCTTCTAATTCATCAGAAGCATGGAAACTCCTTCCTTTTGTCATCCTCAATTGAGGTAAAAAATATTATTATGCTTTTTCGATCAGGTAATAACTTGCAAGGAGGCTTTCCTTTCAAACATAGGTGACTGAGGTGAGACTCTGCGAGACTGAGATCATGTGAGATCTATGAGTTATACAATATAGTTACATATGCAACTTGCAGTATGCTCATTATAGACATTAAGGAATATTAATTATTTTTTTGATCCTTGATCCTTACCATTTTGCAGATCGTACATGTACATGTATACCTTTTATTGTGTTGTGTCCACAAATTTCAGTTGCAATTTCATATATCTAACTATTTTAAGTCTACATCCAGGAGTCCAGGACTTACTGTATTCAGCTTTCTTTTCTGTGATCAGAATTTTGGTAGACAGCAAGATAGGCACAAGTGGAAAGATACAGATAGATCATCCTTCATTTCTCTCTCCGTGCAATCCTCTTACGTCATTGAACTGGAAAAATCAGAACCAATCACTCATCATTTGCCCATACAGTGTACAGCATGGAAAGCCTATATCAGTACTATCATTTTGAGTTGACACTTCCAACAGGAATTTTGAAGGTGAAACTTGAAAGAATGTATTTTTCATCATCATTAACACATGCATTTGTACTCTGCAGGGATGTTTTCTATGGCTCCACGTAGAACGTTATTATTGCTCAAAGCAGCAATTTGCCAAAACATAAGCCATTACTCAACAGTAATGGGATTACAAAGGTTACTCCAATCATTCATCTGGCTAAAAATTTTGCAATGCCAGCACCCCATGGTGGAAAATCAAATTCTGTGGAAAAATTTCTGTACTGTCCTTCCTTACAATTACATGAGATTCTAAATGAACATCAACCTTTATATCATTATCAAGACAGAATGATTGATATGTCCTGTATGTATTGAGGTGAGTTATGAATACAATTGTACATGTATTATACACTGACGGACCTTTGAAAAGAGATAAAGCTATATCACAGTCCTGGATTCACAATATATAAATAAATAATTCAATAGCACCCAAAGGCAAAGGGGTGCTTGTTCAAATGGCTGTCAACTAACTGTATATCATGCGCATCCATGTCAATATCAAATGTCTCTTGGGGGTTAAAGGTCATATGAAGGACTGTTAAAGGTACATGTCTTTTTATTTGAATTTTTGTCCAAAATCTTTCAAGTAATACCAGTCATTCATTCATCTTATGCTATAATATGTTTACATCATGCATGCATTCTACCAAAAAAATGATAATAATAAGTTACGATATGTTATGTGACAAGGTCATTGTATAATTTTTCTGGCCAGCTATCTTTTGTCTACTGTAAATCGTGAAAATTTCACAGTGGTTTTATTTTCCTTTCACTCCTACTACGAAACAAAACCATGACAAAAGCTTCCTGATTTAGAGTAATTATATATACATGTATAGCTCCCTGTAGAAATTCAGTACCTCATTAGGCTCCCAATTTACATCCCATCCTTGCTGCTATACCTTCATGAAAATGCCATCAGCTTTACAGTCTTTAATCACTACACGATCATTAATGTCCATAGTTAGTATGCTGCTGGTGTCACGGCAGACCCTTGTACCCATCAATCCTACCCACTTGACCTACATGTCAGGCTTTGTCAGCCTACAACTGTGAGCCACTGCTGTCCATGTTTCTGTCACTGCTATACGGGCAACACAAATGTGCTACAATCTGATTCTGATGTAAGCTTCTAACACCAGTGCTGCCTTCTGACTAAAATCCCTGCTCTCACTTTGATTAATGGACCAGTAAGGAAACTTCAAGAGAGCTTCGGTGCCTATCTGTTATCTACCATCGTGCATCATCTCTTCGCATGCATGCGTAAGTCAGGCTTTGCTGCGGAAATTGAGAAAAAAATGCTCAGAGCTGGCTAGATCCCTAGTCAGGTAGTCTAATATCACCTTAAATTACACTAAAATGATAAATTCTTACACAGCACTCTTTAGGAGAAATATACAACTGTTACAATGAAAGATTTTGCAATCTAGATCTATTCTAGGCACAGTGCTACTACATACGATTATATAATACTGTACATGAGTAATTGCCAACAATAACACAAAGCTTATCCTACCTTGTACTATCATGTTTGTTATGCATATGGTTCCACATCCCATGCCTCAGGGCAGGATGGATCCATGCTGTTCTCCAAAAGCTACAATCAATAAACTTGCTGTGAAAAATTGAAGAAGCAAACGGGCAACAAATGGAGGACAACTCTCATCCCTGGGCTGACCAATCTGGCTAATGCACCGCGAGGATTAAGTTCAGGCCAAAAGCGGTAAACCAATTTACAGGTCTGCAATGTCTAACGCTAAAGGAGACGGGGTATTGATCAGTTCTAGGTGATATAGATGAAAGTCTCTTGCCCAAGTACCACTTATCATTCTTCGCGCAAGACACAGCAGCTTAAAGCAGTAAAATGTCCTGTACTATTTGCATCGTGTGAATTTTTTAAAGAGGGAATTTCAGCCATAAAAATTATTTTATCAGCTGCTAAATATCTCTAATTGCTTTTGGTAATGTTATTGCTATTAATAACCTATACTTATTTGAATTTAGAAAAAATAGTCAACTCTCTTTGAAACATGCAAGTCCCTTAAAGCGAAATGTATGGCCTTGAAAAGTCGTTTTAAAGCATTGTTAACTTCATATAAACAAACAAATAAACATTGTCTATTGGCGCTGACTTGCAGCTGTCAGAAAATATGCACTTGTAAACATTGTAGATTTTGTTGTTTACCAAGACCGTAAAAATCTTGGCAACAATTTGGACGTGTTACGATACGTTTTAAACGGTGCAGATGCCCAAATCTATTTCCTCCGATAAATTCTGTAAAATATACAACCAACAGATAATCGCACCTTCTTGGCACTTTGATGGAGTGTGCCTCGAAAACAACATGCGTGACAAGCCTTATCGCTCGACAGCAGGCGTCTTTCCCTGGAACTCCCCACCAACACCCGCACTCACTTCAGAGGACGCTCGGTAATACTAGTAAAACCGCTTTCTAACGTACTCCTACGCCGTTACCGCGTTATAACGCAAACTGCATCGTCTAGTACAGAAATACGTGCCTATTGGTTGAGAAACAAAAGGAAAAGTTAAGACTGCACCGTTACCTTGAAATCCGGATGCGGAAAAATGCTAAAATTCTCAGCTCGTATAATCGCGCCTCCGCCGAACAAAGTTACGGACTGATAATAGACTATGCCAGTTTGCCATTTGATATTGCAAAAGTATAAGGAAAGTGTCTGGCTTACCTCAGAAGCGCTCAGAAATAGCAAAACACGGCGGACAATGATGAGGACGACACGAAACACATTCGCACACCCGCCATGATTAATCTGGAATGGTCCACTGGACCGGTAATGGGGATGTTGCATGATTTAGGGTGCAAACTAAAAAGTGTTTTTGAATAAAATTTATGACACTAAACAACAACAACAAAATTTGTCAAATTAACTCTTGGAATTTCAATGCTTCGTCTAGTATGTACTCAACTGCAGTATCTGGATAAATTTGTTCTTTAAAAAGTATACCACATGATAAAATGAAACCTCTCAAGATTGTTACTTATCGAAGACCAGTCCACTTAGTCACATAGGTATAAAGAGACATATATACTCAACCAAAACATGATATATTACTATAAAAAGTAGTAACTAGATTATAATTCTTTTATTTCACTAAGAAAAATTGTCAACATTTGTTAACTGTCCTTTTATTATAAAATTTTAGGAATAAAATACATCCTCACAGGTATAATACCCCTTACTTAATGGCTTCGTCTACATTTCTCGTTCCCAAGATAACACCCACGGGGTGTTGAGAACGAGTTTCCTTCCCGTGATCCTTCAGAGTGTTTTCCTGCCTTGGCAACAACCAACATGGCGGATCAAGAGGACAGGTACGAAAGTTGTGATTTTCCTTCGACATTTTCTCTCGTAATAAATGAAAATCAAAGTATCTAACTTTTTATTCTTGTTGATAAGAACGTTCCGATCCTATGTGATGAATTTGAGTGTATAGATCTATAAAAATCTGATGTTTTGGGAAGTTTTTGTTCGATCAATTAGCTGTTATGTAGAGTGTTATTGTTTAGTTACAGTAACACAGAAATGAAATGTTGTTGAATGATCCTTGTACATCTATTTTTCGACACGGCATATCGTTACCAATGCATAATGTTCAGGATTAATTTCTGAAAGATTTGATTTGAAAAGAACAAGAAATTGATTTGAAAAGAACAAGAAATTGCATGACCATCAGACCTTTGGGTGTTGTCAACACAATGAATTTAAAGAGACATGCCATATCATATTATGGATAATGACTCTTGTTTTCAAAAATGATAACTTGACACATATTCCTCTCCCAGGCCCCCATCAGTGAAGGAAGGAGAGGAGGCTGAACAGCCTCCTGCTGAGGCAGAAGCTCCTCCTGGTGAGTCTATCGCTTACTGCAGTTTCAACTTCAAGATTCAGATACTTAACAATTTTGCATCATTCAAGTTGCACATTGAAGACACTTTTTGATTCATTGATGGAGTTATTTGCACAACTTTCTTGTGTGATAACTACAGGACCTGTAAAAAAGTGTAATTTTTATCAACGCAGTCATTTGTTATATCATACTTGAAACCATCTTAATCTTGGATGAAAATGGTTGAATTACAATGAACTTCATCTCTCTCCACCTGCACAGGTGAAGCCTTGGAGGTTCCAGCAGAGGAGAAAGTCCCCAGCAGACCTGCATCTGGCAAGTCTGTCACAGATGTGGTGTCACAGGTCACAGTCAAAGCTTTGAAAGAGGTGAGTACATAACTACATGCCAATGTGCCAACATAACTTTCTATGTATGCTGTAGTCCCTGTATTGCTTACTTCGTAAGATAGTTTTAGAGAGTTCTTCACTCTGCCAAATTGGTCAGGAACTGCTGTAGGTATATTGAAAAATATACCTTGAAACATACAATCATGTACTAGTAATAGTTCTCAGTTTATTGAAATACGCAATTGCATCAACTTGTCTTCGTAAGATTCATGTAACTTGACTAATGTTGACTTGTCGGAACTATGCTATAATGTGTAGGAGTGTTATTGTGAATGTGATGTCCTGCTATGCACCAATGATAGCAAAACCTCTCTAATGAAATCTCATCACTGTCCAGCTTATGATTATTACCCAATTGAGCATCATGCATGTATCCTCATCCCTGAGCTTGGCTCTAACCCGTGCATGTTTGTGTCTTTCCATCCATCCACCCATCACCCTCCCTTCACAGCCAGAGGAAGGGGAAGAGGTAAAAAGTGCTGCATCACTGTTCTGTCACTGTGTGTCTAACAGCATTGTTGTGAACTGATTCTTTTGTGTGTCTGTGTTTTAAATTAAAATTTCTTTTGTTCCCTGTGCACTGTACATAATAGCACCTGGTAACCTTGATGTGATTTCTGTATAGAGATTGTTGCTATTTAGTGTGGTGTTGAGGACCTGAGCCAAGTAATCTGTTGATGTCTTTCTTTTCTCAGTTTGTTTGCTGAAAGTTTTTAGATTTCTACTGTTCTGTGTGATTTTTCTTTGCAGATCAACATACCTGGTTGACAATTTGTTTTTGACTGCAGTGAAATTATTTCAGTGCGCTAGGCTTTATATATTGGTTTCAATGTTGTCTATTGTAAACAAGGATACACTTCATCACATTTACAGTTCAAGTTACCAGACATGCCTGCAGAACAAGCAGCAGAGGGAGGGGAGGAGCAGCAGCCAGCAGAACAGCCTGCGGGAGAAGGGGCAGAACAGCCAGAGGGGGAGGTTGCAGAGGGAGAACAGCCTGCAGATGCAGAGCAGCCAGAAGGTAAAATTTACCACTGAATACATTGGATTACATTTTAGGTCCCATTTTTTCACTTAAAAAAGTAAAGAATGAAACTAATCCTCAGATTTTTTATGAGAAAGATTTCAAGGTAACTACTATAGGGAAAAAGGTGAGATACAATTTTATGACCTTATTAATTTTATATTGCTCCAGGTGCTGAGCAGCCTGAGGCTGAACCATCTCAGCCAGTGGCAGAGGGGGAGGAGGCTCCTGCAGAAGCCCCTGCTGAAGGGGAGGTGGCAGCAGAGGAGGCTCCCCCTGTAGAAGAAATGGAACGTCCCGCCAGTGGAACCAAGCCTCCATCTAAACCCACCAGCAGAGCAGGTAGAGATGGAATAACATTTTTTTTAAACTAGAATAGCAACATTTGCAAAGCAAATGCATAATATTCACCTTCGCTTATGGTCTGCTCTGTTAATTCTTACTCAAACACATTCACATATATGGTGACAAGAGTCTAAATCCCTCCTACTATGAAATTGAAACATTATGTAACCCTACACCAGTTACCATGATGAGAAACAGTCTGGTTCAGTCAGGTCTGAGGTCACTGTTTGGAGAAGAAGAAGAGGAAATGTAGCAAAAACAATATGTTTTCCGAAATTTCTTGAACTTATGTCTAGTTTCCAGCATTTATACAGCATTGAGTGAGTCTGTTTCCTCCTGTTGTTTGGATGGAATAATGTAAACAACTTGTCTGTTCGATATCATCAGCAACCCAGATAGCAATGTAGTTTGACTGGACTGTTCTGATGTGTTGTTTACAGGCAGTGCCAGGTCAGGTGGAGAGAGACCCGGCAGTGGCCGGCCTGGCAGCGGACGTCCAGGTGGACCCCCTGCAGAGGGTGAGCGACCTCCCAGCGGGCCTCGTGCCGCATCAAGAACAGGGGCCAGCGAGGCGGGTAAGTCTCCGGATAAAGAATGGCAGCCTGGCTGTCTTACTTCAAGGGATGCCTGCAAAAGATAGCCAAAAGATGTCAGTTGGCTACCGGAATTGTCAGGTCAAGTCCTAAATCCTTTGACAGGACTAATATTGGCACCCAATTACTACCGGGTATTTGTAATCCTATTTAAGCAGGTATTGCCGGAAGTTATTATTGCAGTATCATTTCGTATAATAGTTAATCAATGTCTTGGTCTTTTGTAAGTGTCTTGGGCGGCAGATAGTTAGTGAGTGTGTATTTGTGTGTGTGTGTGGTTCTGTAACCAAGAGTACATGCCATTCGGTGAATACATAGGCATGGTTGTTAGTGAATTGACAGCTTACAGACTGTCAGGTATACTAGTAGTTACAAAGTTTAGGCCTTAGTTCCAACACAAAAATGCACAGGTACTGTTTGACCAATAAAAAAAACATTAAAAAAAAGTCAGAAAGATTCCCCATGAATTTTTGGTGTTGGAGCAAGGGCTTAAACATTGTAACTATGGATTCTACCAACACAGATGAGCTTTCATTAAAAAAAAAGACTGTTAGCCAACTGATATGGAACATGACAATATGTTCTGAAATGTGCAGACGCGTTTCTGATGGCTCCGTATCACGTTGACTCCCAGGTCTGAGTGCAGGAGGAGTGAGCGCAGGTATGATCAGTACGGAGCTGCCCATGGGGATGACGAGGTTTGAGACGCAGCCCGGCATGGACAGTGACCTGGAGGAGGGAGCGGAGGAGATGGAGGAGGGGGAGGAGGGGTACTCCGACACGGAGAGCGAGGGAGAAAGCGAGATGGTGGTTCTAGACCCCGACCACGTAAGCAGCCATGCCTTGTTTACCCATCCCTTGTACGTTAGCAGAACATACTGCACCTGCGTGAAACCCGTAATGTAATGTGCATAGCACTTCGGCAGAACGTCTCATATAAGGTTGTATTTGCACATATAAGGTTAACACTCCGTATGTAGTTTACAAATGTTATTTTGCAAAAAAAAAAAATCATCTGCAACAGGCAAAATTCTGATACAATGTTGACCAAAATGCAATGAAAACCGTGAAAAATGGTGTTTCACACAGGCGCAGTACGTTCTGCCGACGTGCTTGTTTACCCCTTGTAGTCAGTGTGATTGGATGAGATGTGACTGTCAGCCTTATTTACCAATGTATGCCCTTCATTTTACCGTAAAGACATTGATGCTTCGTCATTATAAATATCATGAAGCATGTAAAAAATTGCTATATCTAAGTGACAAGAAATTGCATTGTTTACACTGATAGATCACTTCCATGGTGACATTTTAATAATCTGACTCTTTACCTTCCCTGTACTATCCAGCCCCTGATGCTCAGGTTCCAGAGGGCCTTGAATGCTCAACTGTCCAGACAGAACCAAAGGATCACACTGGAGCTGAAAGAAATCGTAAGTCAACACTTAAAAAACTTCCCAAGATCACTCATCTTAAAAGTTATTGTACTTGAATTGGTAAAAATCCAAATGAGATCTTTCTTATTCGAAAAATATACTGGGTAATCCTTGGCCAAGGAAGGAAAAAAGTGGTCAGGAACAAACTCACAAACTGGATTATTATCAATCATTCCCCGTGTGTGTGTGTAGACATGCTTGCATGCTGGTACATGTACTGAGGCTTAATGGCAGCCTGTCATTTGCCTCTATCCTGTGGGTTCATGCTGTGTAAGTTGAGGAAATCTACAGTACTGTATTTGTTTGAATAAAGGACACACTTTTTTGACGTTTCAACTCTGAGGTGGGCACTCCAGGTCAAAGCCAAATTCCGGGTGCAAACTTTATTCAGGTTTTTTTCTCTCAGAAAAACTGGGACAACAAGAAGATGGTCATTACACACCATTGTGTGCGTCCTTTATTTGGGGTGCGTCCTTTATTAGAAGAAATACGATAAGTGGGAGATCCAGTGGGATCGTGTGGCGCAATGGCAGCGTGCACGTCTCGGAATCAAGAGGTCCCGGGTTCAAGTCCTGGCATGCCACAGATCTTGGGCCCTTGGGAAAGGCACTTTACACGACTTTCCCCACTAGACTCTTGAAAATGAGTATTGTCTGTCCAGTATTTGTTTCTATGTGCGGGACACAACACCAGCAACAGCTGCCTGTGTTCCACGTGTATTGCACTGTTGCAATTTCAATAAATCAAATCAAGTCAAGTTTATTTTAAGTCTATGAGAATGTGACCATCTTACCATGTTTTCTGTTGACAGCAAGAGGCGACGAAGAGTAAGCACCAGGAGCGTGAGGACCTGGGCGTGCAGCTGTACGGCCTGCAGCAGGAGCTGGCCAGGAACCAGATGAACCTGGAGAGGAAACACGACGCCTACGCCAGCGTGCACCAGGCCAAGCAGCAGGCCGAGGAGAAACTGGAGGGCGTCAGGCTCACGTATAAGGACGTACAACAGAACGTGCTGCTGGAGAGAACCACAGGTGTGTTTGTGTGTCTGTCTGTCTACCTGTCGCCTATTCCAAGATCAGGGTGTACCAGGGTGTTGTAGTTGAGCCAATTTTTCAAGTTTCAAAATTTTCCACTTTCAGTACAGAAACTTGCACATACCATGCATGATGCTTTTTAAAATTTTTGGATAGTGATGATGAGGAGTTTTAAAGTTGCGCTCCTTCAAACTTGAGTGCATTACTTTACAATGGCACTATATGGACACTACAGCTCATTAGGCTCATAACAACAATACTTATTGTATCCTCCAAGGATTTGTTTCAAATGTGAAATGATGTTACAGAACTAAAAGGAGGGTACATATTTCTTTTAAAATGTTATTACACTTATGGTATGCAATCTCTATGGACACTACACATCTCTACAGACACTACAACATGGTAATTTATGACTGTCATTTTGTTTATTTACGTCAACCATTATCAAAGTGCGTTCTGTCATAAGGCCACCATCTTTAAATGTTTCAGAATATTGGGTTTGTGTGTACCCATGGCATTTATTGTATGTGTATATAACAGAGTGTGTTTGTGTCTGTAGAATGTGTGTGTGCTTTCTACAATAAAGCTGTATATAGAATGCTGCTTTTGATCAGTTGACGTTCATTGCTGACGACTTGCCCCCTCCCCAGGAGCGAAGCTGCAGACAGAGACAGAGAACCTGGCCACCAGGCTGCTCTACATGCAGAACGCCAAGGAGGACGTCCGCTCAGACATCGCTGTCATGAAGAGGGCGGCGGAGAAGGCAGACACAGAAGTGGCAAAAGCTGAGCTGGCCAAGAAACAACAGGTACAAAAAATACAAAACATTTACTACGTTATGAAAACATTATCTACATTCCCTTTGGTCACTCAATGTGATGATGTTAAGATGTTGACATGATGGAAAAATAGGAAATGGTATTCAAGAATTGTACAAGTGGTCTCAGTGTCCCCAATATCCGAAATGATTCACAGTTGCAGTGCCAGCACAATTTGTCATAGCTAGTTTCTCCAGTTTTGAAGATGGCTTACCCAACCACTCGGTGCAATGGCCAAGTGGGTAGCTTGCTCACCTTGCATTCAGTAGTTCGATTCCCAGCCAAGTCATACCAAAGAATTTAAAAATGGTACATACTGCCTTTACTGTTTAGCACTCAGCATTTGGGAAAGAGTATGGTAGTTAAACATGCACTAACCACTACCAGTGGACTAGCCCCCTGCTGTAGTGATTGCACAACTGAACCGGAGATGGGTGCCACCCTATGCACTACGTGGTGTGGGAAGGACTTTAACTTTAACTTATCCAACCACTCCCATTCCTCAGGACTTGTACATTGACCGGCTGGTGGACGTTGTGGATGACCTGAGGGAGAAGATCGCCCTGTACGAGGCTCAGATCGCCGCCCAGACGGAGGAGACCAAGGCTGCCCGCGAGGCCGTGTCCGAGGCTCGCACGGAAATAGATGTGAGTTCCAAGTCCAGTAGTACTACCTATTTCATTCATGTTTATTCTATTTTAGCAGTAGATGACAGTTTTTCATGTGTCCCTGGCTACATAAATACGTACAAAATCATGCAATAAAACAGATTTATTAAGATTATAACAAAACGAATAATATCATTAAGTTATGTTCAAAACAAAGCAGAAAACTCAGAAGATTTTTCATAGTTGATGACAGGCTGTTGCTCTTAGAGAAACCTCTGATGAGAGTCTTTAATTATCATGCATTCCTTGGATGATATTGAAATTCTTTATTGACTCAACAAAAATACAGGGACTTTCTACTACAAATACATGATAAAAAAACCTTGAAATAAACATATTAAGAACCACCAAATAATAAGTTACTGAATATAACATTGCTAGCTCAAAAAAGAAACTTGTTAATTGTAATCATAGGTTTTTTACATGCAGATGTTGATGTTTTAACCCACATTTGTGGTCCTCCTCCAGGCTATAAACCTGGAGAAGAAGCAGCTGTTCCAGCAGTGGACCAGCAGTCTGATCGGCATGAGGAGGAGAGACGAGGCTCATGCTGCCATGAACCAGGCACTCGAGTGAGTAACTGACTAGATACAGGCAGCACATTGCTTACTCAGCAATTCATAAAATCTGCTTTAAAATATCAAGAGCTACATGCATGTATCATAGAATCTGACTATATTGACCTACAGGAGTTACTTCAATCAGTCATTCAGTCCCATTTTTTTGCTGCCATTTTCAGTGAAGAAATCATACATTATTACATAAACAGTTTTTTCTATTTTCTTACAAAGTGCGAAATATCTCACCAAATGGATAGCAGTGAAGCCATCTACCTGTTGTCTTGTTTCGCATGAATATTACCTAAAGTAACTTGGTGCAATGGCCAAGTGGGTAGAGTACTCATCTTGCATTTGGCAGCTCGTGAGTTCGATCCCCGGCCGAGTCATTATACCAAAGACTTAAAAAACTGGTACATACATGTACTTCTTTCTCTGCTTAGCACTCAACATTTGGAAAAGAGTATTGGAGTTGAATACACAACACTACCAGTGGACTAGCCCCTGCTGTAGCGATTGTACAACTTTGTGTGTAACAGAAAGGGAGATGAGTGCCGCCATAAGCGACCATGCCGATGCTTGACTTTAACTATAACTTTTAACTCGGTGCATGATTTGTTGACAGTGACCAGAGACAGCGCGTCTTGTCCCTCGAGACCGAAATTGACGGGTACAAGAAGTCCATCACCAAGGAGCAGGAGAAGAACGAGACACTGACCATGGTGCTGAACAAGACGGAGTCAGACATCAGCACCACCAGGAAGCTCATGGCACAGAGCCAGACCAAACAGGAGGCCATCAAGGCAGAGTACACCACCTACACCCGGGCCCTGCATGAGACAGAACAGGCACTTAACAGGGCTACTACTGTAAGTTCTCCAGGACCTGTCTGAAACAAGACTGCTCTCCATAGTATTATTTCCTTGTTGTTCTTGTCTTCTGTATCTGTTGGTATAGCCGGTATAACCGCCTTTCGGTGTAACGCACCGGCCATTTTCTTGGATGGGAATTTGTAACAGTCGTACTGTTTGTACACATTGACTTCCAGCCCTTTGAGAATATGGAGAATGATTCTTGATCGGCAATTTGGAAAAATTTTGAGACGAAAAATGTTGATATTTCTTTCAAGATTTTTTCATTTCCCATTAAGCATTAAGGGTCTTACTGAGGAGTTTTATGATCCATTGGGTGACAGATAATCTCTCCATGAAACATCAGATGTGTAGGTAAAAGACTAGAAGCACTAGCCCAAAGTGCTCTGCTCAGTTCAAAAATAATCTGCTTGCTATAGTATGTTGTTGTTACTTCTGTCATTTTTTTAGTGTTCTACAATATTCCAGAATGTCAAAGTCTTCTTCTGCAGTTTAGAAATACTTTCTGCAAATACACCCTTAAAAGTTTGGATCTAAACCCATGGCATATACAAATTGCATGTTGGCAAACATTTTACATGCAATTTGAAAAATACATGTAGAACTACTTGACAATGTATGTTATAGAGTCAGTAGTAAACGCAAAGCCTTTAAACACCATTGAACCCCAAGCCTGATTTTTTTCAGTCTGCGAAATTGCAGCTTGCTTAATTTTCCTTCTGCAATATTGAACATGTCTCTGCACAATGCAGACTGCAGATGGGTATTTCTAGCACTGACTCATGCAACAAACAATCCTTCCCCAGGACCGTACTCTGCGTCTGAACGAGCTGAACGCGCTGAGGAAGCAGATCGAGCGGGAGTACCAGGAAAAGGTGAACCTGGAGGACGCCATCATGGAGAAGATGAGGTCCCAGCTCACCATGGACAAGGCTGCCCTCTACACCAAGAAGATGACCAGCAAGCTCAGGCAGAGGAAGAAACAACTGGTGGGTTTTAAAATGTTTTATACTTTTATACTTTAGAGCCTGTTTTGTTAAGAAATCATGTGTGATTCCAGAGTTATTTCGTTATATTTTTGTACTTTCTTGTAAGATGAGGAATGTTTGAATTTTTTTACCAAATGTACTTGTGTTAATGTACTTCTGCAAATTTGGGTATCATTAAGTTTAAAAACGTCTACCTTTTATACTCTGGAGCCTATTTTATAAAGAAATTGTGTATGAGTTATTACATATGATTCAGTTTTTTTGTACTGTCTTGTAAGACAAGGAATGTTGGTTTTTTTTAAAGTACTTGTAGCCTGTTTTTTAAAGAAATCATTGATTTCAGAGTTGGTCTGTCAATTTTTTTTTTTTTTTTGCTTTTTTGTAACACTAACAGTGATAGTCACAATAGAATGTATACTATGTACTACAATCCCTCACACTTACATGGCAAGACAATTTTCATACTGTAACTGTTACAGTTTTTAGAAGCATTTCTCATTTTGATTCCTTGCCGTCGCTTCACAGGAAGCGGAGGTGGCCAAGGTCGAGAACGAGATTTCGCGGGACATCCTGGAGATCTCGTACACGACGTCGCGCATCAAGCGCCTGCAGAAGACCATGGAGGAACTGGACGAGGAGATCCGCATGAAGAACGACATGATCTCCAAGAGTGAGAGCGAGATCATCAAGAGGAACGCGGTGATCGAGAGGAAGCAGGGAGTCATCGACCAGTACAACAAGAGGGTCGACCAGCTGCTCACCAGTACTGGGGTATGCTTCTACGTTCTAATTTTTATGCAAAATGTAGATGAAAGGAGTAAACGCATATTGGCAGAGAAAGCTACAGGGCTTTCCTGAACTGCAAAATTTTGGAATTCCCTCCTAAACACATGCTTCCCTTGCGAATACAGTCCTCAAGCTTTCAAAATAGACACTCACTGCCATCTTTTGGCATAGTCATACATGTATGTCCCTTGTATCATCTAGCTCAGTGTGTAGAAGTGATCATTTGGCTTTGCATTGAGCAATACCATTAAAAAGAATTCCAGTGAGTCACTACATTATTGTACATGTAGTAGTACTACATGTAGTAGACATTTTTGCTGTGTAAAATGGACAGGCAAAACTTGAATCTGTTAAATGCATTCTGTCCTTTTTTCTTCATGTAGTAGGTTTGGACAATTTGAAATGCTGGAAGCAAGGATATTGGGATTTTCTTTTACACAGTCAAGCAGTAATGTCTCTTACCCTGCTTACGCTATCAGACGCCTTCCTCAAAGTTTCTGATGACTGATGACTATATGTAGCCGATGTAGGTAGCGCTTTTGTGGTGAGAACACAACCCTAAACAATAAATCCCAAATCTACCAACCTGATGAAACTATTTTCAGAAATGTTGGAAGCTATTTTCAAGAAACTTGTTACAAGATGATAAATAGGGATCGAGGGCTGGGACCGAGGGTGATGCGGAATACACCGCGTTGTATGTAATTTATGTCATACCCACCCAAGAAAACACACCTTTCAATGCAAAATGAGCAAAAATTTAATGTCACTAAACCCAAAATCAATTGCAACATCCGAATTTTGTATTTGAAGTTTCGAAATCGGCGCACGCTGTTAGGGTGAAACGCATTCGAATCCTTCTATGGAACATTTGGAAGCCCAGGCTGTACACGTTAAGAAGCCCCGGGCCGTACCGCTAGTTATCACACGGGCCGATTATCAAACATAATCGCGGCCCAGGTATGACATAAAGAAGACTAATTTAATTATGTAACAATTTGTAGGGAGAAGAGCTGGGACCACTGGAAATCCAGATTAAGGCGATGAACAAGCAGATCGAGGATCGGCAGGCTGAGATCATGGAGCTGCAGCAGTTCTGGCTGCGCCAGCAGGGGGAGCTGGTCAAACTCACCAAGGACAGGGAGGAGCAGTCCAAGGACCTGGAGCGCCTCAAGAAGCAGCTGTCCATTCTCACTCAGAAGAAACTCAGGATCGAAAGTAAGTCTTTATATTGTAGGGAGAGAATAGTACAATACACGTGGGACACAGGCAGCTGTTGCTAGTGTTGTGTACCACATATAGTAACAAATACAGGACAGGACAATACTCATTTTTCACTTGAGTTAAGTGAGGAAAGTCATGTAAAGTGCCTTTCCCAAGGGCACAAGGGTGGCATGTCAGGACTTGAACCCGGGACCTCTTGGATCCAAGTCGAGCACCCTGCCGTTAAACCCAACGTTTCTGCTTTCAATATATGAGAGTTAATGCACCAGACCACTATTAGATCTTCTCAAGTACTAGGCATTTCTCAAGATTTAATACTTGACAAACATGTATCTATATCATTCTGCATTGTTTCATTATCTTTTTCATGTTTTTGTTTTTCATCTTTCCTGTCCAGTGTCATTAAATCAATGACCTAGACTGAATTTTCAATTCAGGAACAAATCCGATCATTGAAATACTTTTGGTACTGATAAAATAGTATTTGTATGACCTACATGTATCATCCTGATGCTTTATACATGTACCCGGTATCCTATTCCTTGTTGTGAAATTCAATGTCCTTATCAACACTACCCTCTTGCCTTGCAGGTGAGATCGAGGGTCATCAGCGTGAACAGAAGGACATTGACCACAGCATCAGTAACATGCGCAACGACATGGTCAAACTCAACACCCTGCTGACCAAGGAGAACAAGCTCAAGGAAGGGATGCAGCAGGTGGGTTGATTTTACACTCTGTCCCTTTTGAGCTGTACAGTTGAGTCGATTTTTCTTGCATTTTGGCAACACAATAGACTGGTGTGCCAGGATGTACACTTAAGTTCAGGCAAGTACAAAAAGAGCTCCCTTCAAAATTACTTTCATAGAGGGAAATTCTGTATGTAAACCTGAGCATTGAGTCTGAAAGAACTCATTACTTCCTTGTATGTTCATGGTCATTAGTGCTTGACACTGACAGGCACCCCACCAGTCTCATAGTTGTGTTTTTGTTTGAATTGCTAGTAGCCCCAGGGCTTATTGAAAATGACAAATTGGCAATATGTAGTGTCCTTACTAAATAAAGAATAGATGGAAATAGACAAATTATAATAGTCCAAAGAAAGCAAATGAGACTAGTTTAACTGAAAGTATTTGTGGAAGAACATCTGTGAGCCTTTCTCTTTCCTTCCTCACAGGACAACATCTTGGTAGAGAACGACTTCATCGCAGCCTTGAAGGAGGCTGAGTACGAGTCTATCAGCATGCAGGATCGCCTGGATGCCCTGCAGGAGGAGAAGGAGAGGCTACTCAACAGCCTGGTTGAGGCCGAGTGAGTCTTTCTTCTTTCTTTCTTATTGTCTATTGGTGAACATTTGCTATGTTACAGTAGTAGCAAGAGTAGCTTGTTGTGTTGACCAGTTGATATACACTTATTAGGGAGGCCTGGTTTCTGGTACCAAAATTAGTTACTCAGAAATTTACACTACTAGGTGATACAATTATATGTATAATCAAGGAATGTGCTAACCCTTGTCCTGCTGGCATTTTTTACACAATATCAGGTCATAGACCCTTGACTTTTTTGCCCTGCAGTAGCGTAGTAACTTCCGCATTCGAAATTCATTGGGTTTCGCTGCGATGTGATGCATTGCACGAGAAATACATGTACCCCAAATCATACATATACAGGGTGCGAAAAGATGGTACCCTGGTAATGTATATATATGGGCTCAGCAGGACAAGGGTTTAATATAGAGGTACATGTACAGCTTCTTCTTTTTTCCTGTAAACTTTATGTGTATAATGATCAGATCCTTACAGGTATGTTGAGACTTATGGACCCTTTTCTCCGTGTTTCCCCTGTGCACAGACGTCAGATCATGTTATGGGAGAAGAAGACCCAGCTGGCGCGCGAGGTGAGGTCTGCCGTGGACTCCGAGGTCGGACAGGGAGAGATCCACGCCATGAAGGCCGAGATCCATCGCATGGAGGTACGACACTCTACAGTGTCTGACACTCATATTCATTGCGATTTTTTTCTCTATTCCTGCAAGGAGCTACATGTATTTCCAGAGACCGTGGAATTGACCACTTTTGGTGGTGACATCCATGGCTGTGAAGGGACTTAAAGCCTGCCATGGCAGAATCTATTACTAAGTTCTATCAAGGCTGAAGATTTCACCACTAAAAGTGGTCAATTCCATGGCAAGACTTGAAAATAATGATCATCATCCGGCCGTGGAATTGACCACTTTTGGTGGTGAAATCCATGGTCTTTGGATATACCTGATTGCAAGACAACAAGGATGCTCTGAGGTTTTGTAGGTCACCTAAACAACAAATTCATCTCTGAAAGTGAATGTTAGATCATCATCATCAGGTCGGGCGAATTGCCCGGACCAAGTCCACTCTTTCTCGCCATGCCGCTCTGTCCGCCATTAACTGCCCTAGGTGTTCGGCCCTCACCCCAGCATCTTCAGCAAGTTGGTGGATGAAGGTACGATGGGGTCGCCCTGCGCTGGAGTGTCCATGGGTTGGTGCCCAGAGTAACAGCTCACTGGCGAGCTCGTCTTTGTGTCTGTAGCAGTGTCCAGCAAATCTGGCCCTCCTCTCCCGTATGGTGGCTGACACAGATGGTAGAGTCCCATACAGTTCTGCCTTGGTCGGATGTTTTTTCCAGCTTTTGTTGAGCACTGCACGTAACATACGTGTGTACGTTCCGTCAAGTTTGTTCTCAAGTTTCCTTGTCAGTGTCCACGTTGATGAGCCATACAGAAGCACAGATTCCACCACCGCCCTGAAGAAATTCCTTTTAATGTTGTCTGACAATGTGGATTTCCATATTGTCCTTAGGTCGTTAAGTGCCCCCCAAGCTTTTGCTATGCGAATGCAGACGTCCTGGCATTACACTCATGCCAATTGCTGCTAAGGTTTACAATGCTATGCTGCGTAATCGAATCCAACCTGAAATTGAAAAAGTCCTTCGTCCAAACCAGAATGGTTTTAGAAAGAACAGATCAACTATGGGGCAGATTCTGACGGTGAGAAGAATCATTGAAGGTGTCAGAGCAAAAAACCTGGAGGCTGTCATGCTGTTTGTGGATTTTTCCAAGGCTTTCGATTCGCTTCATCGAGAGAAAATGGCTGATATACTGAGAGCCTATGGTGTGCCGAGGGAAACAGTAGACGCTGTGATGATGCTCTACAAGGACACAAGATCCATGGTTCGATCACCTGACGGGGACACAGACTTTTTCAACATTCATGCTGGAGTGCTACAAGGGGACACCCTTGCGCCATTTCTCTTCATCATTGCATTAGATTATATTCTGCGTACCTCTGTCGACCCACACAACAAGCTCGGTTTCACTTTGGAGCGAGCTAGGAGTAGAAGGCACCCTGCCAAGAGGATCACAGATGCTGACTATGCAGATGACCTTGCACTTCTTGCAAACAGAGTCGCAGATGTGGAAACCCTACTACATGCACTGGAAGAGGCTGCATCCGGGATAGGACTGTATGTCAATGCCAAAAAGACTGAATATATCTGCTTTAACCAACATGGCAAGATTCAGTCCCTGAATGGAACCTATCTCAATGAGGTGGAACATTTCACCTATTTGGGAGGTGACATTTCTTCCACTGAGAAGGACGTCTGCATTCGCATAGAATGTTAGATAGCTGTCAATATTATGTCACCATAAAGTATACTTGAAATATATTTGAAAATCGTCCAACGTAGCCTTGCTGCCATCCTCTTTACTTTACCAGGGCTCTTATACTCACTTCCTCTCACAGAAAGTCAACTCAAAAGTTTAGCACCCAAGCTACATTTAATTTAGATTAGGCCACACCGATTTAATTTTATGGATGACATCCGCGCGCGCATTGATTTTCGCCCGATCTCAAGAAAAAAAGAAAAAAAAAGATCACGTATTCCGAGGCCCTGGCCTGGCTTTAGGCCTGGGTAGTGCATGGTGGTGATAACTCTGGTTGACGGCAGCCAGGCTACCGAAGCTCCAAGACTCAAGAACTCAGAACATACGTACAGCAGTGTCGATTCATATATTCCGCAAAAATCCAGCATGTGTCGGCCTGTCGTATACGTCGCTATGTAATGCGCCAAATTCACAATACCAGGTTTGTATTCCTGTGGTTTTGTAGCATTTTTATTTTTGGCCGGATTTTTATTTTTTTTCGCCCGCGCGCACTAGTTTGGGGGTCTTCAGAGGATGTCATCCATAAAATTAAATCGGTGTGGCCTTACTCCAATCAAAGTGGTGATCTTAAGTCATAGGATGGCCCCTGTCTAGTATACAGTACCACTTAGTGACTTACCTAATTATTCAGAAGTACAAACTTATTACAGAAGGCTGTCGTGTGTTCTAACCCGTCTTTACCTTACCAAAGATGATGAAAGTTGTTGTGTGTTCTAACCTCCATCCTTACCTTACCCAACAGGTGCATTACTCCCAGCTTATAAAGTAGAAGCTTGTTACAGAAGGTTGTTGTGTGTTCTAACCTCCATCCTTACCTTACCTGACAGGTGCGTTACTCTCAGCTGATGAAACAGCAGGAGAAGATGATACGTGACATGGAGTCTGCCGTGTCACGCCGCGACACCATCTGGGTCAGGGGCGACGCCCAGGCCAAGACCAACAAGAAGGTGGTGACGCAAGGAAACTTCCAGAAGAAACTGGGAGAGATGAGGAAGAAAATCAAGCAGACTGCTCAGGTGGGTTTGTCTTGAATGCTTACATTTTTCAGGGACTTAATGCTATGTCGATGAAGGTTAGACATCCAGGTGATGAGGAATTGTTACTCAAGCAGCTGGATAGATTTTGAAAGTGGTCAGATTGAAAATGGTCAGATTTTCAAAATCTACCAGTAGCTTATGTAACAATTCCTTGTGCTTATCATATGCTATTAATATGTCACTTCTCCTTAATTGCCCAAAGGACGGGACGTTAAGCTGTGGTCCACTGTTTATTGTGCTTGTCGAAAAGACCAAGGAGAATTTCCCCAGTACAATGAACCTGTAAATACTGTACATGGTGGGAGATTAGCTCTTCTGTGTCAGGGCTCAAAATACTGGGTGCATGTGCACCTTAGTGCAGCAGCATCCAGCTGAGTGTCATCTGTAGTACTTGTTGAAGATAGTGCACCCAGCTGAGTGTCATCTGTAGTACTTGTTGAAGATTATGAAGTTAGCTCCCATTTCAGATTTAAGCTCAGAAGAGGAGCAGTAAGGTCTGTAATTAGGTTGTTTTATATGGTGCACCCAAAAATTTTTGTGCACTCAATTTTTTAGGTTGGTTGCACCAGTGCACCTATTCCAAAAAAATGAATTTCGAGCCCTGAATGTGCTAAAACTGGATCAAGATCACTTTCCGTTCCTTACGCCTCTCCAACCCTCTTTGTCCGCAGGATGCCAATGGTTGTGACCAGGAGATCCAGGAGCTTCGTCAGCAGCAGCAGGAGCTCAGCAAGCTGCTGGAGGAGAAACAGGTGACCTGCCAGCACCTGCAGGGCTCGGTGGACACGCTAGAGGGCGATATTGACAACATACAGGAGATCAAGGAGAGGGTGAGAAACACATTCATTGGTCAATGTTCTGTTAGGGGCTGATTTGGAGGCATTATATAGAAGGGATGGTGTTGAAATGTGTACTTTTTTCAGGTCAACAGTTTTTTCTTGATGATGTCCTTTTTTTTGGTGCTTTTTTTTTTAAATTTCAAATCAGTTGTTGTTTTTTTTTTTGCATTATCACACACCCTAAAACCCCCCTTTACTGTTGTACATGCTACATGTAGTATCCTTAACTAGCTTGCATATTGTACATACATTTGTACACAATGTAATTTCGAAAGAACGATTGCAATCAAGATTTGGAAGTCTAATGGTAATTATGTGTGTAATTGCAATCAATTCAGAATTTACAATGAGTACTGGAATGACTTTATTCAATGTACCTCTGAGTCACTGGATTAATGTTCAGGATGTATGATGATGATAATGATGTATACATACATGTACAAGCACAGCCAATAAAGGCAATAACCATTATGTACAATGTATCTACCTGGGACTAACCAGTCAAAATCCTCCCCATTTTCAGAACCTTGCGGAACTGGTATCTAAACAACAGAAGGTGAAACACTACCAGGCCCTGAAGGATGGCAAGTACAAGCTGCTGTGCAGGACAGAGACAGCACTGGAGAACGAAACCCAGAAACAGCTGGACCGCATGCAGACCCTCAACGCCATTGTAGACAGACTGAATCAGGAGTACCCCCATGCACAGCCCGCTCTGAGGAGGGTCACGCTCACTCTGCAGTCTAGGGGGGTGGTTCAAGACAGTGCCTAGAGACATTATAGTGTAAAATAGATATTTTTGAATGGATATGGAATGTGTCACCCCTATCAATGGGACAATCTTGTACATGTACATGTATATTGAAAATGGTACCATCAAAATTCAATCTGCTGAACCTTCTACACTTTCAAAATCCAAAGCTTATTTTATTGAGTCTAACAGCAAGGCTAACGTATTGCAATACTGCATTGCACAAAACACTTATGAGCATCGAATTTGAAGACACAAAACTTCAATAATGCACCACTGCTGCTGAAATGTAATGTAGACAAATTTTGGAGACTTTAAAAGGTAGTCCAGTTTCTATGTTATAGAATTTGGATGAAGCTGAATTCCAAGTACATGTAATTCTCTAGCATGGCAAATACTGTGTCTGTATTTCCCTTTGCACAAATGTAATGTGTATATTTTGTTCACTTCTTCTCTGTACGTAATAAAGCTTGTGTGTTGAAAACATCTGGCACCCGTTTATTTAAGGTGAACTAGAAAGGTAACATTTGCAAAGCAAATGCATAATGTTTACCTTTCCATATGGTCTGCTCAAACACATTCACATACATGGTGACAGGAGTCTAAATCCCTCCTGCTAAAAAATTGCAACATGATGTAACCCAACACCAGTTACCATGGTGAGAGACAGTCTGGTTCAGGTCACTGACCAGGACAGAGGTCAGCGTTTGGAAGGAAAGAAGAAGAAACAGCAAAAACAATATGTTTTCCTTTGGTAAACATAATTATCAAAATACAAGGTACATATATATACTGCAAACAATCAACATACTTCACACCATAACTTTATTCAATACAGTCTGGAGTGTATGATTCTTATTGCATTATAAATATCAATTACCCTTATACACAAATTATAGCTCTCTAATACTTTCCAACTGGGAAATTTTAATTTTACATTTAATCTCTCTGTACACAGAGGAAAGGCAGACCAGGAATTCATGTACATCAGAACGACCTTTCAGATCTCAAACCTTAAATCAACCATTGTCTTAAGATTATTACATCATGGTAACATAAATATATACATCCCATACACTGGAATTAAATGTTGCAAGTACAATACAACCTTGTTCATTTGGAAGGGCTTAAAGCTTTAAATAAATACGAATTTCTAGAAACTTAACGTCACGATACAAAAGCATGCAAATTCTATAAACAAAGTCCATCTACAACACAAAGTTTTCCTGGACAAACTATCCAGGTTGTGTAGCATGATAGTAATTGAAGGTATCAAACTCTTCTGGTTGGTTGAATACAGGCTAAAGACACATCCCACAAAGACAGTTTTCTACCTGCTTTCATGGATCCCATGTGCAGGAATGTCTGTACTAGCCCTTGCAACAAGTTGTATCTTCCCTAGTCAGCATCTAGTTGAATAATTATAATCAAGTAAAAAAATCACTTTGCACAGATATTTTGCACTACAATATGTACCTGACCCTCATGTACAGGTCTTTGGTACATGTACCTACTGCCACCTCTTCCCCCATTGTCATATATAAACCAAATTTGGCTGTTGATGTATAATCTCTTTGTCGTCTTTAATTCCGCTAAGCATCAGTAGGTGTTGTAGCTGTCGCCTGCAAAGATGGAAAACTTCTGTAAGGGACAAGCCTTCTTAGCTATTGTAAAGACCTGCAAAAAGACATCTCAACAACAGTATAGTGGGGGCATCCTCACTAGATAGAACCTGAAGTTTGATGTGTAAAGGCTTCAGATATAATAGCTAGTTCAGTGTACTAGTAACATAGCCAGCTGTTGCCACATGCCTGCAAAGCTAGTGAGTTACACTGCAGGGATCTGCTGTTAGCCTCTACCAGGCTCAAGCCTTTTGGGAGTGGCAAAGCAATCTTCTGTCTATTTGGCTAATTTCTACTCTTTCCAGCCTCTTCCTGAAGCCTGGTAGAGGCTAATATGTTATACCTTTTTTCGAGTATAATACCCATTTTTTGTGTACAATTCAGACCAAAGACAGAAGGAAACACACCCTCCCTCTCCTAAAGGCAGCTTCATTACTTGTCAACCCACAGAACCTTACAGCTTCATTACTTGTCAACCCACAGAACCTTACGTCCAGTAAAATGGAGTTTCTTACCCTCTGTAGAATTTGCTGACCCAGGAAGTTGGTTGCTATTGACGACAGTTTCTTCTTGCCACCCACTTTACACCTGATGTAGCCGTACAGGTTTGCAGCACTCAGGGAGAGTCCAACTACCACCACAGCCTGGGGGGGGGGGGACAGTGGTCATGTCACAACCAGTCACTAACGGACAGGCAAGGAAGGGGCAAAAATCCTTCAAAAATCCCAAAGAAACAGAATTTGCAGAGAAAACGAAAGAAAAACTTCACACAGATATGGTGTAGAATGTTTGAAGTGTTTGACGGCAAAATCATTTTACAGAAAATTTTACAAGAACACACTGTTGCCACACATCTTCCCTGTTCCTCAAAAAAACAAAGACCTTCACAGAAATCCTCTTCAAAAACAATGGCTACAACTTTGCAGGTGTAGATGAGCTGCATCTTCTCAGGCTCCTGGGTGCCATCCTATTATGTTTACCAGGGCTCTCATACTGGCTACTTGTATCGGATGGCATCCAGAGCATAAATTTGTACATGTAGTTCATGTATAGTTACAATCACAAAAGTACATGTCAATTACTTTACGAATTCTATGCTTTTGACAACATTTGACCAAAGTAAACTTTTTTTAGTCTCATCAAGACTTATTAATTATATTATCATAGTGCTGTGATGTACTTACCAGCCAGTTGAGCTTGAGAGCAAACAGAGTTCCGAAGAAGAAGAGGCTCCATATGATGGGACAGATGATGAGCCCCAGCCAGAACACTCGAGACTCTGCAGCTGTGGGGGGCAGGGTGCCTGGTTTCTGGGGCAAGGGAACAACACACGCTTCAATATGCGAGACAGTAATAAAATAGATTCACAGGAGAGAAGTGGCAATTCAAATTTTCTTCTCTTCTACATGTATTTCAATGGGATGAATATTGAACACATTTCAGAAAGTTCAGAATGTAAACTAGAAACTTTTAAGGTAACATTTGCAAAGCAAATTCATAAATTATCTTCGCATATGGTCTGCTCTGTTAATTCTTACTCAAACACATTCATATACTGTATATAGTGACAGGAGTCTAAATCCCTCCTAATATAAAATTGCAACATGATGTAACCTAGCACAAGTTACATGTACCATGGTGACAGATGTCTGGTTCAGGTCATTGACCTTATTTTTTTTTTTAGAAGAAGTGGAAGAACTTCAAGAAGAAACAGAGCAAAAACAATATGTTTTCCTTCTGTGAAGGTAAACATAAGAAATGATGTTTGTTTCGCTACTGCTCTACATGTTCTTCTGTGCAGAAATTTACTCCAGGAATCAGGAAGAGACAACATGGGGAATGGATACTCACTTTCCTGGCTTCAAATATCCAGTGACTCTTTCCGTCCTCATCGACATGGTTCCACCACCGCAGGCCTACCAGTAATCTACCTGTACAGGGGACAAAAAAATGGAACACCTTCTTAGATGTAAAATTATGTACACATGTAGTAGCAATTGCATCACAGATATAATATAACAAGGTTTGGGTCCAAATACCATGCTAGCCCTTAAAGTAATCTGCCAAGTTTGGCATGGTGATTTAATGTGTTAATTAATTGTGATTTATGTGTTAATTAATTGTGATTTAATGTGTTAATTAATTGTGATTTACCTGTTAATTAGTTGTGATTTAATGTGCTAATTAATTGTGATTTATGTGTTAATTAATTGTGATTAAATGTGTTTCTTTTAATCAATGGAGACTGGAGACAATGACGTATATTGTTTGATTAAAGGTACCAATCTATGGCTGCAAGAAAATAAAATAAAAAGTTGTAATAGTAATAAAAATGCAGGTAAAGCTGCTCACCTGTAATATTTTTGACGGTCCAGAAGTCCAGAGACAGCATCATGACGATGATGACAAAACTGGTGACGAAACTGTTACTGAAGAGTCCACAGAACAGGTAGGTGACTATGGCCAGCACTCGGAAAAACAGGTGGAAAAAACACGCCACTGGATGCCTGCAGAACAAACAAACAGTTTTCTTCTTGCTCCTTTTTGTACACGATTCACCCAGAATTTTGTTCCGAGAAAATAATGTCCTGCACACGTTATATTTACTGGCACAAAATTGACATATACAGAATATCTTAAAACTCTTGCACTGACATGTACAGTGTCTTGGTATAATTATACTTTAAATAGACACTTTTAACAAAATGGTGTGACGTGGCCAGTCCAGTAACATCGCACCTGACATTATCTTTACCCCCCTCCCCCTTCAACTTACCGAACTCTTTTCCGCCTCACGGCTTCATCTTCGCTGCCAAAGTCAAGTGCGACGTCCTCTCCGTCTTCCATGGTTATCTATAATCTCAGTGGGTTGTCAGAATTTCTCATAAAGAGCTACAGTCTGGCACAACGTGAAGGTTTTCGACCAACGAGAAGTGCTGGTTACGTGTTCAACCTGTCAACCAACCATTTTGTATTGGACATCACGTCTTGTTCGCCCCCTCTAGCGGAATTGGCTGGCTCTGCAGTTACAAGCAAGCGCCTCAGTTTTTCTTCATCGTGTTGTCAGACTTCAATCGTCAGACTTAAACAATGTACATGAGAGATTGCATAGCTTTTTCCCCGAGACGTAACAAGCCACTTCAATTTACCGTAAATCGTAGATAGCCGCTTTAAATGTAAATATATGACATCTTACATATAAATGTAAGATGATGCCCTCTTACACAGTATAGGCAAGGACATTATATAATGTCCTTGGTATAGGACTCTAGTCGAGATTGCAAGGGAAATATATAAATATATTATCATATAATGACATGACCAACTGTATGCATGTGCATTCTGTAATAAATACATGAGATTATGGTTATTAGTGTTTATCAAAGCATTTCAAGTTGGAATTCATGACAGTTATTACAAAGCTCTTATTGATGACAACTTGGTGACATACTTAACAACATTGGCCCCACTCTAAGACATACAATATGTATGTAGTCAAATTCTGCATACAAGCACATCAATTTTACAGACTTGTACATTGTAAAATTTTCAAAAGCAAAATCAACTTAATACTGTTACATCCTTCACCTGAGTTAAGTGAGGCAAGTTGAATGTAAAAAGTGCCTTTCCCTGAAGATTGGTGATATGGTAGGATTCGAACCCAGGGACCGCTTGGTTCTAAGCCAGCCACTCTTTTTACGCCACAGTACCCCACATTTGAGATACACGACATCGATCAGTATTTGATCAAAAGTGCTAGGAAGTTTATACCATCTTCCATCTCCAACTATCCCTCTCAATAATCAGTTGGAAGGCAGCCACAGTCATTTTTTAGCCTTCAGCTTTTCCAAGTACTGTTGGATTGACTTTTGGACTGATTCCCTGGTGGTCTCATCCCTAAATGTCTGGATGTCCTCCTGCTTTCGTCTGCGTAGCTCGTCCAGGAGCGGCTTACGGGATGCCATCTTGGTGATGGCTCTGGCCTGGTCGGGAATCTTCAGCCAGTTCTTCACCTCCTCTTCAGCTACAGTCTGTACATCTTCTATTGGAGCCAGCTGAAAAATGTTACAGATAATACAATTAATGTAACATCAGGTCTGAACTCTTCCTGAGATCAGGAATTAAGTTAGAAACCCAGGCTAGGGTAGTTTTCCCCATAATTTATTGAGGTACATTGTATATAACGTTATGTCTCCACATATACAGCAGGTGACTATGTCTAACATTAATTTTGTCAACAAGAGCCACTTGTGTTAACCTTAATTAAAAGCTGCAAATCTTTTATATGTTGTATCAAGATTTTTAAGATCTTTGCTTGTATGCATTGTTCCTTCACCTCCCTACTACACTGCACTTCTTTCATCTGTTTCCCTTTACTCTCTTCTAATTCCCTTTCTTCTTCTTCTTTTTGATGCCCAACATCATTGTAATGATGACTCTGGCATGTCAAAAGTGTACTGCAGTTGTCCACAGTTGTGCCTTGTATGCTCTTGCCCATAAAATTTCTACCCTCCTACCTTTCTAGCGTGAAAGTTCATCCGAGTTGGTAGAATACATGAAGAACAATAAACTGTTCTCCAACTCAACAATGAAAATAACTCACCTTGTCCACCAGTCCCAGTTGTAAGGCCTTGTCAGACGGGTACAGAGCCCCGATCATCAGAGCCATCTCAGCCTGTCTGTAACCAATGACGTCGATCATTGTCTGCCTCAGCCAGAAGGGTGCAACCAGATCCAGCTGAGTCTCATTCAGCCCTGGAAAATAGAGTCAAACAGTCAGAATAAGTTAGGATTTACAAAAAACATCTCAACAATCTCCGAAATCTAAATTTTTCCTATAAGGTGAACTGATAAGCTTTAGCCTCCGCGGCAGATATAATTTTTTAACTTTTGTTCCTATAGATTTTTGTACTCCTTTTATTACTCTCTATATAAATTTCATTAGTCATTAGTATGTGATGCATCAGCAAAAATAACTATTATAGTAATCCTAAAGCATCCATTTTCTTGATTTTTTCCCTAACAAGAACAGGATATATTCACTATGAAGTAAGTTTAAACTGTAATTTCCAACACAACAAAAAATTGGACTCACCCAAATTTTCGACTGTACAACTCCAGTCTTTAAGACT